ACCTTTCGGATAAAAAAAGAATTATCCAAATCGGTCCACTAGCGGCGGAGTTATGCCGTAACACACATAAAAAAAAAAATAAAAAAAAATAAAAAAAAAATATACCGTCGAATTGAATACCTCCTTCTTTTGGGAAGTCGGTCAAAAATTAGGGTCAAACTTAATCACGCAGCCTGAATTGAATAAATATCAAGTAGAGTATACAACACATTTCTTATCTTATATTAAAATTGCTCTGTGTTGTTCTTACTTATTCATTTATTGCAGAAATAATTTAAAATAACTAGAATGAATGTAAAATTTAACGTTCCGTGTAAAAAACGGATCGAGCAAGAGTTATATAACTGCTGGCCGAGTTCGAATGGCATAACTTAGATTAACTCATCCGAGAAAATATTTTTTCTAAATACATTCAAATTAAATACGTTAGAAATTTAGCGTAAAATGTTATCGAAGTTTCATTGAAACGTATAACTCCGTAGAACTTCATTACGACACTGTTGTAAACAAATTATCTGTTCCTTGCCTCGTCGATCTGACGAAATCGCCTGCGCCGTGAAATTCAGTACTCAATTGTAAATAAGAATTAAGTGACTTTATATCACAACAATGACCTTGAATTTTAAGTCAGCGTGTTAAATAAGATCCATTTTAAGAAAAAAACTTTGACTTTAGACTTGCCACATTTTTTGTTGTTTAAAACTAGTACAAAAACATTTTACAACCAGTAAAAATATATTTATGCAGTTTTAAAAAGAGACTAAGATATATGACAGTATTTTTGTACAAGTATTTCGACATAGACCACCTTACCAACGATAAGGAATACAAGGCGTTGAATTTAACGAATGGAACTGAACATAAACATTTTTTTAATGGTGTATTATTTTGTTGCAGATTTGCAGCTGGCTGCTGAGCTCGGGAAGACTCTCCTGGAGAGGAACAAAGAGTTGGAGACGGCGCTGCGGCAGCACCAAAATGTCATTGAAGATCAAGCGCAAGAAATTGAGGTAACATTTATTACAATTTAAAACATATTTCCATAAAATAATACAGTTTGTAAAATATAGTTTTATTAACACTTTACTTATACCTAAGTAAATAATCCATCAAGAAGGGTGGCCCAAATTAATTATTATTATTTGTTATTTCCAGTACTTAACAAAACAAACTGTCGCACTGCGGGAGGTGAACGATTCAAGACTGAGAATATACGAGCAGCTGGAGGTGAGCATCCAGGACCTGGAACGCGCCAACCATCGGCTCGCCGTCGACCATGCAGCCGACAAGAAGCACATCAAAACGTAAGCCTCTATATTTATTGCTACTTCTGTGGGTCTACTTTTCAAACTATTTCTCATCTAACAGTCGCCTTTAGTGACATTAGTGACCACTGCGACGACTATTGCTTGAAAAAAGTTTGTATAACTTCCACTAACATGCCTCAAACATTCCCCTGCAATAGTCCTAGCTCGTTTCGTAAAAATAGAGGACCTATATTAACCCTTGCTCTAGGATTTGCTATTTCCTACGATAGAATTATTCAGATTTATAAATTAAAGTATGAATGTAATGGTATCATTATTCTTTATATTCGCACCATTATTTTAAACCGGATCTATGTATGTCTGGCAAGGACGCAAGAATTTGCTAAAGAATATTTGGTTCATTTTTAAATGTTGATTTTAGTGGTTGGTGAACCAAGCAATGTACTTGGACTAGATTTTTGTCTTAATTTTAATAGTAAACAATGGATTCTGTGATAAATGTTTTGTTTTCTCGAATCTTAGATATTTTTAAGCGGAATTCTTTTCTCAAGCCTTTTACAGTTTGGTTAAAGTAATCCGCTTATCAATGGATTAACAGTTAGTTTGCGATTAGCCTACATTCATACAGATTCTAGTGGACCACGTTACAAGGTAATATCATTATATGCTAAGCCGTTTGTAAACAATATCTTTATAGGGGGCTACATAGTGTTACGTATAAGCTTACATCCCAACAATTATTACATTCTTGTTACGACCTCCAAGGTTGGTGTTTACGGCTAATTATACACGTTCTTTACGAATGGTGGCCTTTATTACGCCTTTCAAAGTCTTACAGCCAACGCTCATGATGAATTGTTAAATATCTCGTTATTACGACACGGTATTGCCGACAAAAACTATTTCTGCCTTTGTATTTGAAAGGGAAAAATTACTTAATAAAACGTTAACGCAGAAAAAATATATTCATAACGTCTAGAAAAATCGTAATTTATTTGAATTTTTTGAATTTAATAAATCAAACAATAATGATGGATATTGATATATTTATCATTCTTTTCCAGTTTATGCTCAAACATCGAGACATTGGAGGGGAGATGCGAAGAACTTCAAAAGACTGTGGATGACCTGAACGCTCAACTGGAGATCGTCCGACGAAGAGCTGAACGTAAGCCTGAGAGCAGCGAGAAACCTAAAGAGAAGATTCCAAAGCCATTGGAACAATCCACGCCAGATTCTAAGAAGCCCACTTCAAATAGCACGCCAATAAAAACTATTGCACCTCTTCCGGAACTTACGAAAGAGGATGAGGATTTACTTAGATTGAGCGATGAACTGAGAGAAAATAAAGTGGCGTTCGCACAAGAACAACGGCGTGTGACGGAACTAGAAGAACAGCTAGCTTCTATGGTGCAGGAGAACAACAGATTGCAAGATCAGCTGAGAAACTGGCACCAGAGAGACGATGAACCGAAGTCGATGCACGAAGAGTTTTCTATCCTTGAAGAAGTGAGGTAAGAGTCGTTCCAGAATACGGTATAGCAAGAATTATGTGCGCTAAAACCGCTTAATAAATCTCCGCGACGACCAATAATCGTAACACAACCTTTTTTTTTTATTCTTTGTTTTAACTCACTCTTATGTTCTATTACAGACAAGGACAGCTTTGTATCAGATGTCTACGAGGCGTCGAAAGGGGCGATGATATGTCGTCTATACTAGACGGTGATGATGACGACAGGAGTGCGATCAGCTCGCTCATACTCACACCCTCGGGACAAGACAGTCCCCGAGAAGACCATGTCACAAGCAAACTCGTCAAATTCGACGTACGTATTACAAATGCATGCTCGCTTCAATACTAACCAGAACTCTCCCTTTACAGCTTTCTTATCTTGTGTGATATAGTATTCTTAATTAATATATTTTTATGTAGATATATACTCGTAGTAATATGTATGTGTATGAAAGTAACAATATTAACTCACAACTCCGCAATGATATGTGCAAACCAAATTAACACTTACTAACATTATAAGTAAAAAATAGAAATGAAACATTCAGCAGATTCCAGTAAAAAAAATCTAGTTATGATTTGAAATTCCATTTACGATTTCATCATATCCCAGCACCAAATTCCATTGGTAATGGTCAGGATTTAAGCACGGATTTAGTTTAAAATTTCATAAGAATGTTTCGATCGTTTTAGGCAGCAAAGCTTTTCCAACTACCCTTGATGTTGTTGATCACGCTTTGCATATGCATTATGAAGCGCATTTGCAGTAGTTTTCTTTGGATATATCGTATGTAGTCGAAGGTACGTCCATTACTGACACATACTCTAAGCGAGTGGACATCAAACTAACTAATCATCGGGTGACGGTCATTAGATCATGTGTAAATTTAAATGTTGTAACGTTTCTAAATTAATAATCACCTAATTGCAGCTTTATCGGAGATTTGGCTAATTGTTAATTATGCTTGTACTAATTTGTATAAAAGTATTTTTATCTATGTTGACTGTTCTTGTGGAGTAATGGTTGTATTTTTGACTAATTAAACATTTGAAAATTGATACTAAGTCTAACTCTGAACTTGTATCTAATAAATCATTAGAAATCTTTTAAGACATTGACTTTGACATTCAATAATTAATTTCTATTTAATAAAAGACGTCTCGTCTTACCTTCAAAATAATCTTATCTTCACGACATAGTAATCGTAATCATTAAAAAAGTAACAAAAGATTCGATTCATCATTTCTTTTTAATATGGGCTTTATGTCTACTTCTTGTAGTATTTGTTACTTCACCGTAGATAAATGTGTAGAGTTTAGAGTAAAATAAATTTTAATCCTTTACAGAATGCCAAGGAAAAATTGCTTCAAGGTATTTGGGCCAATAAGGATGACGATCAAGAGAATCCTTACAGAGAGCTGGTCCAGAAATATGAAGCTCTTTTAGAAGTTCAGTTGTCACAGGGGAAGAACAATAGAAAAAACAAAGACGGCTCGCTGCCCGCACAAAACCAATCCGGTCCCCTCTCCCTACAAGATGAGCTGCAGACCTCCGGTGACTACAGTCAGTTCAACGTCAAAGATACCGATGAAGAGAGCGGCCACGGTGGAAGCGAGGAAGCCCACAAGGACAACCAAACTAAGAAAACTGAGTCAACCTCGCGCAAGAAGATCATCCAGACGCCGGACTTCTCCGAGGCGGAAACATCGAGCTCCGGATTCTCCGACGAAACAAGCAACAAAGCAACACAGACTGAGCGAGAAAGGCCAGGCTCTTTCCTTTGCACGATCGCAGATGGTGAACATTACAGATTCAGTATTTACGACGACGTCAGCCCGATGGACAGTCGTTTCCGAAACCGACCGGAATATCGCGAATTGTTCAAAGAAATATTTACCATTCTCAAAAAGGCCGCTGAAAACAAAGACGAAGGAGAGAGACTGCCTCTTCTTGATGATACTACAGCTGGTAAAGTACCTCCAGTAACCCCCGCCACGGAGGAACAGCCCGGCAACTTCACAGACGATACTCAAAGCGTCCTGTCTTCAGTCATGTCTGAACAATCTCTCCCAGTATCCGATATAACCGCACCGGAAACGCCTACCTTGAAAGAAATGGAGGTGCCGCTTCCAGAACCCGTTAAGGAAAAGAAACCTGAAAAGAAAAAGGAAAATAAACAGAAACCAGTTGAGCCGACAGATGAAAAAATTAAAAAGAAGGCTACTAAGAATAATGAAAAAGAAGTAAAGAATACTCCGAATACTTCTACTGAGAGAGAAGAGGAAAAAGACAAAGAAAACGATAAAGAGCGCGTATTAACACCGCTCGTACGTCAACCGCTGGAGTACATCGCGGCTACTAGGAAGAAGTCACGTCATCGCAACCGCAAACACAGCCAGGACCGGCAAGGCGCGGACTCACCGGTCTTCCCGTCGCCGCCCAAAATCACCTACCAGAAGCAGTCAAACAAAAAGAGGCGAGATTACAGACCGATCGAGGCCAGCCCGCTGGTGAGAGTCAACGAAATGGAATGGAACGGAAACACGATGCAGTTCTACAACCGCAACATGCACTCTCCCTCCCCGAGCGTCAGTGGCCGCACCGGTAAAATCTACCAGGGATGGAACTCGGAGACCGATTCCTGGGACATCAAGCAGAGCACCGCCTCGCAGGAGATACACAAGCTGAGGAAACTCGAGCTCTCCTACGCCGAAGTGCTCAGGAACGCGGACAAAACAAAGAACAGGCGTAAGAAGCATCAGTAGACTACAAACTAAAGATTAAGACCCTCTTGCAAACTGCAGGAGTCGAGTGATCCATGAGTGAGCCATTTGTTTTTGCCAACTGGACGCATTTAGTTTAAGAGTTTTTGTGATCTGCTAGTGTTACACATAAGTTTTACCTAACCTAACAATCATGAAATTGCCATAAGTGTAGTCGATACACATACAATAGAAGTATATGTTAAAGCATAACTACATTACATTCCTATAATACAATAGATAAAAAGCCAAAGATTTAAATACGCTAATAGGCTCTTAATACGGTATCAAGCTGGTTATGATAAATTATGTAGAAATCTTGGTTAAATATTTGATATTGATGTAGAGACGAACACGTGTTAATTTTATCTTATATTTGTATGAAATTGTATGTTTTAATTTATGACGATGAATTAATTTTCTTAATTATGAATAATAATTAAATTGATCGATTGTAACAAAATATGTTCATCCGTAATGTTTTGAGGTTATGTGCGTATTTAAATCTTTAACGTTACCCCTCCGATATTGCATTCCATATTCTCCACGTAGAAAAGTATCAAAAGATATTAAAATTGCATTTAAATTATGTATTTAAAAAATGAAGCATGCATGAAGTATTTCAGCTGAATTTCTATTTAGCTTTCGTAATTCTATTTAATTCGATATTTTCAACTGAATAGTTTTTTTATCCTTTAACTTTATTCCGTTGCTGCGTTAGTCACTATTTTAAATGTATATTCTGTATTTGAATTTATGATTTGTAAATATTCATTTTTTATAAGTTAATATTTTTTATTGCCATGGTAATGCGAGTATTTCTGATACGTTGTGGATTTGTATGCTAAATTTTTATTTAATGAAGACAGATGAAGGAAGGTTAAAGGTATGAAATAAAAAATTGCATAATAATTATTCGTCTTTAATTTAACCCTCCCGTAATAAAATATTTAACTAGAAAATAAATACGAGTATAATCTGGATTTCGATGTATGAAGCAGGTACTTGAGTTACTAGTACTCTACGATGTAAATTTAATATTTGTAATAAATTAAAATGAGATAAATCAATTTACTACTTACTATTTATTATTCGCTTTTCAATCATTTTTTTTTGTCAAAGACCAAAGAACATCTAAATTCAATATGAATGATCTATATAAAATGACAGCTGACAGTTGTGACAGCTGTCAAAATGATAAAAAAAAAACTCAAAAAATCAATATTTTACATAATATAATTTAGGAATACTTTATACAGAGGTTAGATTATGTATGAATTATCGTTCATTTGTTCTGGGCGTCGAGTTCTCTCTCGACGATCTTGCGGTACTCGTCGAAGCCGCCCTCCACGGAGGCGACGCAGCCGCCGCCGCACACCCACAGCTCCTTGCACACCATGCGGATTAACCTCTCGTCGTGAGATACAAGAATCACGCCGCCCTGTCACAGAATTAATAATAATAAGATTATTATATATTTTCAATTTATTTATATATAAAAGCCAGTCTTTATATATTTATGAATAATCATTTTTAATAACAAGCCCTACGTATACAACAGTCTATAAACAATAGAAATTTTCACGCTATTTCATTTAGAAGGTTAGTAAATTGGAAAAAAGTCATGCAAGAAAGAGACAAGAGTTACAAGCCAATTTCTGCTATTGTCAAGCCAATAGGCTTGTAATTTTTGTAGTGCTGTAAAGTAAAAGGCTTTTTATAAAAAAAATTATGATTGCTGACATCTTACATAAAAGATTGTGTTTAGATACAGATGAATAGATAAAATAAATAGGAGAGGCTAACAATAAGTTTTTAAATAAGTACCGTATATTTGTTGATTCCTTTGCCTAATGCCTCGATAGTTTCAATATCGAGATGGTTGGTGGGCTCATCGAGCACTAGGAAGTTGGGTCTGGCCATGCACATGGCTGCGAAGGCGACGCGCGACTTCTGTCCCCCCGACAGGCTGGCGATGGTCTGCAGCGCGAGCTCGCCGCTCACCCCGAAACTGCCCAACTGACGTCGGTATTCCTCCACTGATTTACCTGATAAATCATACTAATATTATAAATGCGAAAGTTTAGATGGATAGATGTTTGTTACAGTTTTTAGAAGAAAAGACTGAACGGATCTCGTTGAAATTTGGTATAGACGTAGAGGATAGTCTGGAAGAACACATAGGCTAAAACCAGGCGGACGGAGCCGCGGGCGAAATCTAGTTAAACATAAATTTATTACTCTATACTAATATTATGAGGAAAGATTTGTATTGTCATATGTACTTGATTCTAAAAGCCGATTGATAAATTCTTTTGCCTATTCAAAGCTACACTATCGCTGAGTAACATGGGCTACATTTTACAATTTTTTTTAATTACCCCAGACGAAGTCATGAGCAACAGCTAGTATTTTACATTATTTGTGGATTTGCATATAGAGAAAAGATTAACTAATTTCTATAATATATTCAGACAGGTAAGTTATAGAAAAAAATTAAAGTTCCCAGAAATATCAAATTCTTGGCAATATTTTTACATTGTGATCAACAGCACTCACCAGGGTAGGTCTTCTGCAGCAGCTCTACGGAGTTGACGTTCATGTCGAGCTGGTCGACGTGGTGCTGCGAGAAGTAGCCGAACTTGAGGCCGCGGTGCACGTTGCGCACGCCGCTCGTCGGCGACAGGATGCCCATTATTATCTTCAATAACGTCGTCTTACCCGCGCCGTTGTCACCCACCTGTAGTAAAAAAATTGAACCCGTAAATACGCACTGTTGTATATAAGCAACGGTACAAGTTTTTTATTCTGTATGCATATACTAACTTTCGCCCGCGACTCCCTCCGCCTGGAATTAAAATTAAAAACGACAGTGGTCCTACGTATGTGTTCTTCCAGATTATCCTCTAGATATACCAAACTTCATCGAATACCGTTCAGCCGTTTAAGCTACAAACTCTAACAAACATCCATCCATCTAAACTTTCATATTTATAATTTTAGTATGATTGTATGTATTTATGTATATTATTAAAGTACTTATGTATACTTGTGCACTCTCTATTGGCCAAACAACCTCTCTGTATCGAATGGTTAGTTGTAAGATATTATAAAAAATGTTTTCTTTTGTGTACAAAGTTTAAATGAATAAAAGTTTAAAAACATTTATTAAAAAAAAAAACTTAGATATTTTTTTATTATAATACCGATCTTGCATTATATATGACTAGCTTTCGCCCGCGCCTCCTTCCGCGTAAAAATAATAAAAATAATAAAAGTAAGTAGTGTATGTGTTCTTCCAGACTATCCTCTACATTTGTACCAAATTTCATTGAAATCCGTTCAGCCGTTTAGGCTACAAACTTTAACTAACATCCATCCATCCATCTAAACATTTGCATTTATATTATTATAAAGTATGATTATGTCAAAAGATTTGGAAATAGTAGTATATATTTAAATCAAAACTAAAACAATCGATATGAAGGAATAAAAAAAACTTAATTCCTATATGATGTTATTAAAATGCGTCGCTCACATTTTTATAAACCGATTTTATGCTTAAAGACTAAATTGTTATTTATAAATTCTTATGACACATTTTGTTTTAAGTAGAGATGGCGAACGGGTAAAAACCCGGAAAAAACCTGTGGAAAATTCCCGCACGGAGTCGGGTTTTTTTTCACATATAGCGTATGTAACACAGTGGGGGGGGGGCAAGTGTTGGTGATATTACATACCACACTCTGTTTTGGCTTCGTACTGTGCGCGTTTGTGTTAATTTGTTGGTTTAATTGACGACTTAATTTTGTTTTGATTGCCTAGTGATTAAACACGTGCTTTACTTTGGATTGACAACTACTCTTACGGACTACGATACCTACTTCTTTTTATAAACGTTAATTTACGGGTAAGTTTGAGCTTTAATAATTGTTTTATTAGACTATGGAATTTCAAACTATAAGCTATCGTATATTTAAGTGGATTTAACGCTTAAAAAGTGTGTTTTTTATATATCAACATCTTATGCCGTATCAAAATACGTAAAAAAATATGTATTTTATGTCAAAAATAAATTTTAGAAAAGCTGCATTGTAATTGGAGGAGGCTTTTACCTTTAATTAAAGGGGTCCATACAATATAGAAAAAAAGTGTATGATATTGTAATTTTACTATATATTTATACATTTGTGTATGGAATTAAATAAAGCTGAATAAATAAATATAAATAAATATTAGACTATAAAAGTTTTATGTACTATATTTGTGGATTCCTTGCAATTCATTGAAATTGATATATTGTCATTTTCTAAGTTTATTTACTGTTGCAAATAGTTACTTTACAAAAGCTGAAATGAGTCGTGTATAGAGATGGTCAAAAACGCTCGAACGCGTTTGATAAATTGGACAAAGTAAATATTATATCTTATGGCCAGTAAGTTTTTTTGCCCGCGACTTCGTCCGCGTGAAATTTGAAAGTTCAAAATTTACGTTCGCCCTTTTTTAACCTATTAATTAGTATTAACTTAATAGTAATCTACGTAATAACAGAAATCTACTGATGCAAGATTCCAAGCTTCTAAGCCTGGTAGCTTGTAAGCTGATTTTTTGGTTACCCTTATTGTTTATGTTCGCGATATCTTCTAAACTATTAGTCAAATTTAAATACTGTAAGCAACAATTTTATTCTACATTAAATTCCCCTGATAACAAACGCATTTATTTGGATAAGGATTAATATTGAAACCAATAAAAGAACGCCGCAAATAGCGTGCGGTTTTTAATTCATTTTCTAAACAAAAAAGTGGTTATTGTCAGAAAACCATTAAGATAGATTTATGCTATCGCGGACTTTTCTCTAGAACTTTTTGAGATCTACAATTCTTTCATACATCATTTTTATATACCTCTAACGGTTTAGGCAGCGTAAGGCGAGAAAAGTTAGAGTTCAGTGAATTTTTAACGCCGGCGTGCAGAAACACGCTGTTTATTAATAGTTCCTAAACATTAGTAATAATATTATAAAATATAGTCTATGTTACTCACAGATAAATTACCTTACTGATGGTGAAAGAATTTTTAAAATCGGCCCAGTAGTTTTTGAGTTATTTTAATACATACAAAAATACAAATCTTTCTTCTTTATAATATTTGTATAGATTAGTTTCGTAGGTTTACCTTCTCTGTTAATACACAACACTTTAGAACTCTATGCATTTCAACTGTTTTTACACTTGTTTTTAAATTCCTCAGATCACATCATGCCCAGAAAGAAAAATACTGCTGTATGGGAAAACTATTTTCATTCGGCAACAAATAGAATAGTAAAATGCAAACACTGTGGAAAAGTTTACCAATTTGGCAATGTCAGTAAAATGAACAGCCATCTCTTGAAATGTTATAAATGTCCAACTGGTATCAAGAACAAACTAGAGAAAAAACCTGTTACTGGCATAACTGTTAAAAATCTGTCCATGCATGATGCGTCACATCATGAAATGTCACAGGATGACAATTTGATGGATACCACTTCAATTATTACGACTGCGTCAGGAATTTCAACAGAAAGCAACGTTTATCTTGATCATCTCTTATCGAAGGCAATATTTGTCACTGGTGCTCCTTTATCCATCGTTGAACATCCGCTGTGGATACAATTTTTTGACCATTTGCAACCACTTTACAAGTTACCATCTACAAAAGATATCTCCACAACACATTTAGAAACTATTTATAATGAAATGGTCAATGAAATAACAAACGAACTGAAGTCTATAAACGATTTGCATCTGCAGTGCGATGGCTGGAGCAATCAGCGCAATAAAGGTACCATCAACTTCATAATTGCAAAACCTGAGCCTGTTTTTGTTAAAAGCATTAATACTTTTACAAAACGACATACAAGCGAACATGTATCTCAAGAGATAATCAAAGTTATAAACGTGTATGGAGGCCACAAATTTGCAACTATTATCGGAGATAACTCAAATAATATTCAAAGAGCATTTCAGATAGTGAAAAATTCGTATGCACATATAATATCCCTGAGATGTGTAGCGCATACATTAAATTTGCTATGCGAAGACTGCTTAAAACTAGAACCTATTGATAAGTTTATATCGATTGCCAAAGATACGATAAAAGCAATAAAAAGCAACCAAAGCATGAGCGCTTTACTAGCTCAGATTATAAAAGAAAAAGGTTCAGGTGAAACATTAAAATTGCCGAGAAAATCCCACTGGGGAACTTACTGCACCGCGTTAAAAAGTTTAAAAAACTCCAAAGTTGCCTTACAGACATTAGCTGATCACGAAAATGCCAACATTTCAGAGGCAATAAAAACACATTTATTCAATTTTAATTTCTGGACCATGGTAGAAACTTGTATAAAACTATTGGAACCTATAATAGATCAAATTTTCAAACTTGAAGGCAATGGAATACACATAAATGAAGTTTATATGCTCTTCAAAAACATTAAGTCTTCATTTAATTTCGTATTGCCGGATATATCAATTCTAAATGAGCATCAGAAACAAGATATTATTAATGCTGTAATTAGGCGAACAAGTGATTGTTTGAAGCCCATTCATTATGCTGCATATTTATTAGATCCAAGATCTCAAGGCAATAAACTAGAAGAAGAACACGAAGTGGATGCTATGGAGTTTATACACGAAGTGAGCCAATCGCTCAATATTGACGTTGGTGTTGATTTAGCTAATTACAGAGCTAAAAAGGGTTTATGGAGCAGATCATTTATGTGGAAGCATGCCGCAGAATTGGACCCGGTAGTTTGGTGGAGAGGATTCTGTAGGTCCAAATTGCTGAGTAGGGTTGCAGTACGTATTTTAACTGCTCCCTGTATATCAACTACCGCTGAACGATCTTTCAGCACGCATGCGAATATACATAGTCACAAACGAAATAGATTGACTACAGACAGGGTAGCAAAAATAGCTTTTATATCGTATAATTGGAACCTCTTACACAAACATAAAGATGAAAATAACGATGATGAGTCGCTATCGACACTCAAACAATTGTCAAGTTCATTGTGTTACCCAATAAAAGAAGAACAACCTTCAACATCACGTGGAAATGCACAAGTAATAGAATTTTGAATAATATATTTAATGATCACGACAGAAGCGACAGTGACTAAAAAATTCATTTGTGAAGTGTAATAAATAATTCTTAGTATCTCTCGTTTGTTTTATTATTATATTTTAGTTAAGATTAAAAGTTTCAATAAACGTTTTTTCCGCAATTAAATAACTTTCCGTCATAATGCGCGGAAAAAAATCTTATGATAAAACAAAACGGCGTCATGTTGTAGTTCCTGAACTAGGTTACAATTCTGACGTTTCAAACAGGCAATAGCTACTGCCCTATACACACTGCCGCACAATATCGTGCATCGCAAAGTATCTATTTTTCGCTGGATTTGTACTAAAAATTAAAAAATGTATTTTTTTTAGATCTTGATAATAACGTTAAATAATGAAAGTACCCATCTATTGGGTTTTTTTCCCGTTATAAACATTCTCGTTGGGTGTATTCCCACTGTGCATCTTTAGTATCGAGTCAATTTAATCTAGATGAAAGAATAACCTATTTTATCTTAAATTTAAAAAAAAATCTTTTTATTTCTTTTTAGCAAACGTATTTAATAAATTAATCGTCTCACAATTAAATAATGCTTTAATTGATATACCAAAATTCTCGTTAAAGTTGTAAATTGTACCAAATCCAATTTACGGTAGTTATTGGTAACAAAGTTCACTTATTAATATAAATCTAATAGTAAAGTGCAGTAGTCAACAATATAATCTCAACTAACGGCTAGGTTTTCACCGAGCAAGTGTCAGTCAAGGTCGACGCAATGCGACGTTACATTGCATTCACTTCTAGACACGATTCTTATCAATTTATTCATGAGTAACTCTGACTTCAATTAAATTCAAGATTACAACGAATATTATATTCCCTTTTCATCAAAATAAAAATTCAAAAATAATATAGAAACAATACGGACATGTAAAAAATAAATAATAAAGACCAAAGTAATGAAGTAAATGTTCCGTTTTATATGACTTTTTCAGTCAACTTGCGTAAAGCCTTTAAATTTTTGAACTAGTTTTCTATCCAAATTTAAACAGTATGCAAACATAAATAGTATACAAATTTAAATACTTACAATACAAATTCTGGATTCCAGTGTAGCTCCGAGGTTGACGTTGGTGAATATGACTTTGTCCTTAGCGTAGTGGAAGCCGACCTCGTTGAGCTGCAGGATGGGCGGCGACAGCGGCTCCGTCTCCGGGAACCGCAGCTGCACCTCCACCTCCTTCTCCACAGGCCTTAATTCTGGTCTGAAAACACACAAACAAAAAAATATTATTACTTAAAAAAAAATATGGATATTCCCGTGCAGCTTCATCCACAAATCATAAAAAATATTTTATTGTTTACATTCTGTAAAAACTTTAATCACAAAAGTCAAAATTAAAATGTTCAAACACGAAGACTATTCATATTAAAAAAATTAAGTAACCATGGCAACCTTAATTCTTTGTTACTATTAGCTTGTAGCTTTTGTCCCTTTCTCGCAGATCAGCAATTTTCACTGATTATTACGTCAATTTCATGATGCATGGTTTACAAAGAGTACATCAAAATGTGCTGTGATAACACCTATATAACAAAAAAATTGTATTTACGCTTTATTATATTAAAAAGTATATTTATTTTAATATAGTAATAAGTGTATATTATATTAAAAGTGTATCATCATCACTAGCTCACGACCGAGGAGCTCAGAGCCTACAATAAGTTAGGGTGACTAGGCCATAGTCAACCCACTAGCCACGTGCGGGTTTGTTGCACACATATTTTTAAATTTTTTACCGATATGTGGCATCACGGTGTTTTCCTTCACCTTAAAAACGCCGGGTAAATTATGTACATATGAAAATTCGAAAAATTGGTACCCAAGACCTGTAGATTACAAGTCAAGTAACCACTGGGCCACCGACGCTCTAAGTAAAAAATAAAGTAGAACTAACAGCCTGTCGAGCATCTTGATCTTGCTCTGCACGGAGGAGGCTCTGTTGGCGTTGTAGCGGAAGCGGTCGATGAACTCCTGCATGTGCGCGCGCTGCTGCTGCTGCGCCTCGTACTCGCGCTGCTGGTTCTTGTGCTTCTCGCTCTTCGTCTTGTCGAACTGCTCGTAGTTACCCCTGCACACACCGACATATACTAATATTATAAATGCTTGAATGGATGGATGGATGTGAGCCTAAATAAAATGGATATCGATGATAGCATATATGTAGAACACAGTCTGGAAGAACACATAGGCCACTTATTTTTTTTTTATTTCCGCGCGGACAAAGTCACGGGCGAGAGCTAGTTATTTTATAATTACGCACCCTCCATTTACAGGTGGGAGGGGTCCCTATTCATAGGGCAAATTAATGAATTTCAATCAAATAATGACATGCTCGTAACTCAACATATTTAATGTAGTAATATTACAAATGCGAAAGTTTGGATGGACGTTTGTTACTTTCTATAAAACGGCTCAACGGATCTCGATAGCAATAATGTAGAACATAGTCTGGATAAACTTATATTAACTAAAGATTTTTTAATACGCAGAAGTCGCTGACAAACCTAGTCTTTACTAATATTATAATAAAGTGGTATGATTTATAATTCTGGATTTTTGTATATATTTAAAGTGAAAAAACTCCAAAGTAATTTCAAAAATTTCACCATTGCAAAGATACGTTATCGCTGAATAACATGAGCTATATTTCATGTCGACAAAGTCGTGAGCGACAGCTAGTGTTATACAAAAACAAATTAGTTACAAATGTTACCTATATGTGTCTATCCTGTGCGAGTGCAGGTGCAGGATGTCTGTGGGCACGGTGTCGAGGAAGTTGCGGTCGTGGGAGACCACCAGCAGCGTGGTGGGCCAGTTCTGCAGGTAGTTCTCTAACCAGATGATCGCTTTTATATCCAACATGTTGGTAGGCTCGTCCAGCAGTAATAAATCTGGTCTGAATAAAATAACACAGATATTGAATTTACAGTAGCTTAAATATTCTAATTGGGATAGATTTATTATTTTATTGATAGTACAAAATACATAAGTACTAAAAACGTTTAATAATTCGGCGCAAAATTGTAATTTAAAAATTTTCCACCTTACATTCATTATTTAGGTTTTTACTACTTAATGTATATCTTACTTCTTACTTATAACAATATAATCATACTAATATAAATGCGAAAGTTTGAATGGATGGATGTTTGTTAGAGTTTGTAGCCTAAACGCCTGAGCGGATCTCTATGAAATTTGGTGTAGATGTAGAGGATAGTCTGGAAGAACACATAGGCCACTTTGTTTTATTTTTTTTAAATCCACGCGGACGTAGTCGTGGGCCAAAGCTAGTTTATAATATTATTTACTATGCACTAGTATAAGAACAGGTTTGCTCTAACCTTAGTGAATACCATTAAAGTTGCTATTTTAACATAGGTCTATGATAACACAGTTGTTTTGTATTGCATCATAAGTTCATACGGAACTTGCAAAAATATATTTCATGAATATGTATTACCTTATTATCATATTTATTATTTGATTTAGCTTCCTTAATGTATAGTAAGATAAAATATAAGAGATTTCTTACTATATAAAATTTTAAAAAAATAAAATTAAAAACACCATAGACAATGGTATAGTATACAAAAGTAATACAGACAGAACAATCTTGTAAAAATATGCGAATAACAAAATACCTTATAATACCTAATACTTACTTAGAAAACAGCGCACGAGCTAACGCTAATCTCATTCTCCATCCACCGGAGAATGTTCTTGTTGCTCTGTTCTGCATCTCCGTAGAAAAACCTAGACCACTAAGGATTATTGAAGCTCGGGCAGGCGCTTTATCCGCTTCTATATTCTCTAACTGAGCGTATACTTCACTTAACTCTGTTGATAATGAAGGGTCCGTTGATCTATAACAAATGATTACATTTTTATAATTATTTTAAACCACCACACTCAGATTAAACCCATAATTAACAATTATTTAAGCAATATAGTGTAAAGTTTTTAGGAAAAATTTTCTGTGAATAATAAATAAGTGTGCATAAAAGACATCAAAATTTTAAAATCATGAGAGATTATTTTGTATTATTAAAATTAAAATTGTTTAATCTAATACATGCAATGACTATTACATTTGTTATTAAAATTTGACTTCAAGGTAAATAATAAATTTAATGTACTGCAAATATACATACGAAACTAACTACATATGCTCAGTTCTGACAGTTTTAAGTGAAAAGCCAAATTGTTCAGTTAAAACTGAGGTTTTGTAGGCCAAAATTATAACTGTCCATTTTAATTAAGAAGTACAACTGTTCGCATAAAACTGTCAGAATTGAGCATTTACTTTACATCTACATAGACTTTTAGACACAAAACTAAAATCTATTTTTTATTTATTTACACTTTATACACAAGATACACAATTTACAATAAGACATATTGAACATTGGTTGTACAGGCGAGCATAACTCTAAAAGAGTTTTCTTACTGCTAACCATGAGATACAGATTAGATGTTTAGCAGGTGACAATGTGCAAAAGTCAAATAAACACTTAAATGATAAGCTTAACAATTCTATTTGTGATAAAGATAAAAAAACTTTGCATCCTTACCCATTGTTAATAGCTATTGTGATTTCCTTTTCTCTTCTTATTAAATCCTCTCTAACTGTATCACATTCTAGAACACTCTGCAGCGCTAATGTATCATCACCCACTACTTCTTGTTCAACATGCAGTATTGATATATGTGAAGGTATTTTTAATTGTTTGGCCATTATCATTCTCAATAATGTTGTTTTACCGAGACCATTTCTTCCAACTAGACCATATCTTCTACCGAATGCCAAAACAAGATCTGCCCCTTGTAATAATACTCTGAAAATTATATGGAATATTATAGTACAGTAGAACCTTGATACCTCAAACCTTGGTAACTTAAAAACCTCTGTGACTTCAAAAAATAGTATGTTCCCTTCCCATCGGAGCTCAAAACCACTACAACATAAATACTTGATAACTTAAAACCTCTATAACTTAAAATATTTTGTGTTTCCCTTGGACTTTAACTTATCGAGGCTCTACTGTACTAGGTTTTGTCTGAGAAGTACAAATATAGTAATGTGACATTCAAAAGTATATTCAACATTTGTGACAAATTTCATCAAGATCTGTTTAGACATTTCGGAGAAAGTAGTAACAGCCATCCACCCATTCATACTAGTTTCACATTAATATTAGTAAGAAGTATAATTGTTGAATTCAATGGATTTTCTAAGTAGCTTTGCCTATTTTGTATTCAAATTAATCATTATTCTATGCATTTCAATTGGTTTACAGTCTTCAGAATTGCAGATAAGTTAACAACTAAAGTAGGATAAGATAAAATGTGATTTCTCAATTTAACTAGATTATTTATACATATGGGGGTTTGTGGTATTTAACACAAAGATTATGAAATATTATTTTTTAATTAATATATGTTTTGAGTTATCGTAAAAGTAAAAGGGAGACAATTGTATAAATGCGTAAACTTAGATGGATGTTTGCAACTATCTGTTCAGAAAACAGAATAAAAAGATCTTGATTAAATTTGACACTGATTATAGTCTGAAAGAACACAGGCTACTTAATGCATTTTTTCTTAATTCCACATGAACAAAATCATAGACAAACACTAGTCCTAATATAATCAATATAATTAAAAGTATTTTTGTAATAAAAGATTTACCTGTCACCATAAGCAATATCAAAGTTCTCTATCCGTATATCTTGTGTTCTGTTAGTGCCCTTTGCTTCTAACTTGCTGTCTTTTTTTGAGGTAACCTGTGATGCTGTGGCTGTTTGTAAAACTGGAGCTGCAACTGGTACCTTTGCATCTTTCTGCTTTTGTTGTTTCTGTTGTAATTTTGCCTCCGCCTTTTCTAATTTTTTTGCATCTACTTTCTAAAAATAACATTTTAATATTAGTTCTAATAAAATGTGTATTTAATTCACACAATTGACTATAAAATACATGAGTATGTTTAATAGTTTATGATTTTAGTACTTTTTTTTATAATATCTGCGGACAAATGGGCAAGCAGAATTTGCCAAATTAGCGGAGCAACTAATGATGTAGACATCAACATTTGTATGCAAACCTTGGATCAACTGAGGAAAGTACACACAGAAAGAGGACATTTCCTCTACCTATGTGTCCCATCCCTGCCAATTTTATTGTGATAAATAGTTAAAGTAGTTCAATAGTACTATATCTATACTAATATTATAAAGAGGAAAGATTTGCATTTTTATATTTTTGTATGTATTGAAATAAATCAAAAACTACTGGGGCGATTTTAAAAATTCTTTCACCCTTAGTAATATGTGTGAATGTAATTTATCTGTGAGTAACATAGTAACATATTTTTATTATTTTTAAATTTTATGTATGTTATATTTGTATGTATATGAAACTTGCTTACAAAATTGTCATCTCTGGTCTGCAGCCATATACTTTTAAGTTCTTCAGAATCATTTGTAGTTGTTGTCATGGAAGCCAAATGTATAGGAGCATCAAGAACTTTCCGGGGACCATTGGTATTGTCTGTCTTATCAGGTTGGAGCATATGCAATAACTGCTCACAAATTTCTCTAAAACAAATAGTAATAAACGGCTTAATTAATTAACATTAAAAACTTAGAAAATTATCATAGAATTGTTTATTTAAATGAGACCATTGGTGCAAGGTTAACAATTATGCAGATGTTTTGATAAATTTTGATGTGAAGAAAAGTTTTATTAAATTATTTTACCTAATATCATTTTCTGATTTCTCTGAAATCCCTTGTAAAACTTCACCGACAGCTTCGTAAATTTCTTCGGTGTCTTCAAATTCTCCAGCACTATTGTCTAAGATATCTAAAAACGATAATGTACGTTACATGTAAATCGTTTTATCACAGAATATTATTTATTATATGTAAGAGAATTGCCAAAATTTAAATAACAGTGTACTTTTTATTATTTTTTACAAAGACATTTCGTTTTCTAACCTATAAAAACTTACCTTCCACATATTTTTTAAGATCGTCGTCTATCAAAGGAAATTGACTTTTAATAAATTCACCACAGTTAGCCATTTCAGCTGTGTAAAAGTGTTGTGTAGAACTTGGTTATTACCAAGACAATTAAATTATTTTAACATTTATTTAGAAAACTATAAAGTTTATGTCAAAGTGTCACGTCACGTCAACGGTGAAACTGTCAAATTATTGTTTTTTTTTAATTTTTACTGCTCCGAGTGGTTCTGAATCTGAGTTTTTGCCCTTTTGAGCCATTCGTAATTTCCATAACCAATTCCGTAAAACGAAAAGTAAACACAGTATTCGACTAAAATATTAACTTTAACAAATAGGTTACTCAATCGTCACACCAGAGGATTAATGTAAAAATAAATCACCTGCAAAGATCATAGGATAGATTGTCTTAAACATTATTCTTATCTGTTAAAGTTTGACATTATCATTATTCTGTCAACTCGTTATGTTGATATTTTTGATAATCATAAAATAATAATGAATATTTATTATTTACGAACTACAAAGTCTACCATAATAATATCCTGATAACTTAAGTTTACGTAATAAACAAACTCTGTTAAATCAATAAAACAATAGCATAAAGCTTATCAAAATGGAAGACAATATTGATAATAGTGTTACAGTTTTAGCAATGCTGGATAATCAAAGTAAGGATAAGAATTAGAAATGTACTTAACGGAAAAATCATTTAACTATGTACTAAATCATTAACTTAGTTTAGCTTTTAAATATGTAATAAATTGTTTACTTAATTTAGCTTTATTTAGTGATGTGTTCTATTTATTTTGTATATTAAAATATTTTAGCATCAACTTACAAACAAAACATCATACCTGACTATAATCATTCTAATGGAATGAAATCCGAAGAAACTGAGACTAATGAAACAAGCAAACATAGTATGTATTATAGTTTCAAAACTTTGTTTTTATTTATTTATTACTTAAATTGTTATTTGATATGATTTATTGTAGACATAATTTGGACCCGAAATGCGACTTTACTACTCTTAAATTTATATGAAACTAAAATACACATGATTGATAATCCAAAAAGGAAATCAAAAATGTGGTTATCGATGGCTGAAGAATTAAAGGCATTAAATATTGAGGTAACAGATAACTTAGTATGAATAAAAACAAACATTAAATATAAAATAAATTGTATAAAATGTATTACAGGTAACACCAGATCAAGTACGATGGAAAATAAATGCTTTAACTAAAAAGTACAAAGACTGTATCGAGAATGGACAAGGGAATTTAACTTTTAAATATTTTAACGAAATGCATCAAATATTAGGCCAATATCATGATGACAATGACACTTACAGATTGTCTTCGGGTGTTACACAAAATAATAAAAGTTCAATGTTATGTTCACCTTACCATAAAATAAGAACAGAAAGAAAAGCTAAAGTTGAATTAGATAAACAATGGTTAGATTATTTAAAACGACAGGAAGAGCAGAAGGAATTAAGAGATCAAAGATATGAAAGAAGCTTGAGGTTAAGACAGGAAGAATTAGAATTAAGAAAAAGAGAACTAGAAATAAAAGAGAGTTTAGCTTTAAAAAAGTTACAACTAAAAGAGAAAATGCAAGAAGAAGTACTTAAGATTGAAAGAGAGAAATGTGCATTGTTAAGGGCATTCCTTAACCCACATTAACATGGAAGTTTTAAAGACATAATTGCATAATTTGTACAGTAATTATAAGTTTTTCTCTGTAAAATATAAATATTATTTAATTAGATATTTATAATGCAATTGACTGATAGGGACAAGACATTTTTAGTAGATTTCATTCTACACACAATTATGCAATACATAGTACATAGTACATACTGTTTATACAGTGTAAATAAAAATTGTATCACCGTCATTATTTATTTCATATATAATGGTGTCCAAGACAAAGTCTTAATTTTTTCAGCTGGTCTTTGATACTTAGTTGATAATGAACAAGATACTTTATTTAGCACATTCAAAGCCATTTTGATTTTTATGCATTATAATAAACTTACATGCTAATTCTATGGTACTGAACATTTTAAGCTTATTAAAATTTTGTTCCTGGCCTTATACCACACATATGGGGATCCCGTACATGCTTTTCTAAACCTTAATAAAAGCTTAGTAAAATGTGTATTGCTATTTTCATCAATCAGTCACATTAAAATGATCATTTTCACTAACACAATAGTTGTGTAAAATACAAGCTGCTACTACAGCATCTGTGATAAAAGCAATGTTTCTGTATACTGCAAAATATTTCACTCTCCTAAATCTATTCTTTAAAAGCTTAAATGCTTTATTACTAATTCTTCTTGCAGTGCTATGTAAATTATTGAACTCTCTCTGTTGCACTGTTAATCTATTACTTTCCCTAAATGGTTGTAAAAGCCAAGGAACTGAAGAGTACCCTGAATGACCAATAAGGAAGGTATTCTCTGGCAATATTCTTTCTCTAGTCTCACATGCCGTTTGATACAGTGGAGATTTTCTTAGCACTCTGGCAGCAGTTGATGATCCCGGTTCGCCACAATAAATGTTAATAAACCTCATATTTGAATCAAATGTTGCCTGTAATACAATTGAAAAATATCCTTTAGAATTATGATAGGCTGCTGCATTTTTTGGCTTTTCAATCTTTATATGCATACAATCAATTACTCCAACAACATCTGAAATTCCAGTTTTAGTTTGAAAACCATCACAAGTTGTATGTATTTCTGTATAATTTGCAGGCCATTTTATAACATCATTTAACTTTGTTAGGAACCAAGCTACTACTCTCCTAATTACTCGAAACGCTGACGATACTGAAATGTCGAATCTCGTTGCAATTGGTGTTAATGGTTCAGTATTTGCAATAAATGACAAGAATATATACAAACACAATTTTGGCTCCAATGGCTTTAAACCAAATTTGTGTTGTGCTATGAAACCAGACTTTTGTAATTCATCTGAAACGATAAACATTTATCACAATCTTCACAACTGTACATAAACATAATGGTATAACGTTTTACCAATAAGTGTATTAGCAGTTTTACGAGAAAGCCTTAAACGATTTTTAAATTCAGAATCTGTCCATGAATCCACTTTGAGCAAATAATCGTCTAATCTTTTCTTTCGTATTCGTGTTAAATAATGCATCAAAGGAAAAAATATTCTGTCATCTTCATCGTCTTCTTCGGACGACTCTGATTTAACAAAACTTATGTCACTCCAACTACTGGAGTCACTGTTATCATTGTATTTTATTGTATCGGTGAGCCATATCACAGTATTGTTAAGCGACATCAATTATATAAAGTAAAAAAATAATTTAGTTATTCTGATTTGTTAAGTTGCATAAATGTTATGACTTTTAAGAAAACATATGATTTTGACATTTTACTGCATAATTGCCATACCATAATAATGTTACTTTGGAGGATATAAAACTGATTATTAAAATCTTGGATTTTCTAAATTCCATTAAAATTTCCTACTTTAAATATTTACAGTAAGAGTAAATTCTTCCCTTCTTTTTATGCAAATCAAAATTGCAGCAACAGTTTTTGCATTATCTGTAACAAGAGGTAATTAGCCTTTTTGTTAAAATTTTGTATCTGTTCTAATAATTTCAAAAACCATGTTTACCAACTTGATATCCCGCCGCAACGCAAAATCTTAAAGTGACTTAACTTTCCTTATTATTTTTCCTTTTGCAATGGCTGATGTATACAAGAGAAATGAAAAATCTTTAGGATTACTTACAACACGTTTTGTTTCATTATTACAAAAAGCCAAAGACGGTGTGTTAGACTTGAAAATTGTAAGTATACTATAAACTACTTGGTACCTTGTCATTTTGCCCACAAAAATATGAAATTCAAAATGAAACTAATTATTAATTTACTGTATGTTTAAAGGCAACTGATTTGTTGGCTGTTCGACAAAAAAGGAGAATATACGATATAACCAATGTCTTAGAAGGTATCGGCTTAATTGAAAAACGCAGTAAAAATAGCATACAGTGGAAGTAAGTGAAATTAATGACAAGATAATTAAATTTAAATATTACGATGCTTAAAATTAATTTTCTTTCCGCAGAGGTGTTGGTCCAGATTGTACATCAAATGAAATAGGAGACAGAGTGACTTTATTGAGAAGGCAGATTGGGCGCTTGGAGGAACATGAAGTGTTGATTGATAAGTGAGTACTATATATCAGAGAAAATGAATCTTGATTTTTTATATACAAAATTTTACTTTTTACAGACACCTTCATTATATTGAGCAAAGTTTAAAGAATGTGCTGGACGACACTGATAATCACACATTGTCCTATGTCACAGAGGATGATGTTAAAAAGTGTTTTAAGGATACTCAAGTATTAGTTTTAGAAGTTCCTCTTGGAGCAAATTTAGCTGTTACTTCACCCTCAGCCAAGGTAATGTCTCTCAATTGAATTAATTGCCAGTGTATTTCGCATAAGAGTTTGACATGGACCTGGGTTTGAATCCTGCCATGTACCAATGTAATTTATGACTTTTATATGAACTTCATTTACCTAACATTCTTATGGTGCAGAAAAACATTGTGATGCAAAGATATATGTGAAGTCAATCAACCTGCACTTAGTCAGAGTGATCAACTATTCACACCTAACTAAGGGTAGGCTCTGAGCCCCTCAGTTGGGCATATAGTGAGTTGGTGATGATACATTTAGGCTATTTGTAAGTCTTTACAAATATCTTTGCAGCTCAAGGTTTTCTGTGCACTATGGTGCATCCTTTTACTGCACCTAAAAATTTGTTATGCTGCGGCTTATATATTCTAAAAAAAAAAATATTTTTAAAGCACTTTAAGAATTTTGTTTGTTGTTCAATATAATTGAAGGATTAGTCCTTATTTCAAGTGCTTTTTTTTTTCAGGACAAGCTTTCAAGTTACAGTTTACATGTAAAGTCAACAGAACAAATTGGTGTTATACATGTATCTGATATGGAAAAAGAAAAGGTAATGAATGTTATGTCATGTAGCTTTTTTTTGTATTTTGTAGATACATTTTTGATTTAAAAGAAATTATTTTCTTTTTTAGGCTAACATGGAAGAGAATATAGATGATGAAGTACAGAGCTACACAAATAGTTGTGATGATGCATATCATCATTCAAGTAAGTATTTACAGATCAAAATTGAATTAGGCATTAAAAATAATGTATAGCCTAATCAAAAAAAAAATGCTAGCCTAGGGGTGCTTTTGGTTTCTTTATTACATATTTTTTTGATGTGCGCAAATGAATTAATTTGACATATTTATGAAAGGAAAAAATATTATGTTTGCTGAGACACTGCAATATTTATTCTTCTTTGTCGCTTTAGTCTTTACGGACTCGTCGTTTTTATCACGTATCAGTGACCCGCTTCACAAGACTCCGCCACTCCTCCCTGTATCCTAATCTGGTCAGTCCATTTCATAGGCGATCTTCCCCTAGCTCTGGTGCCCTTCACCTTACCCTGTACTACCAAGCGTTCTATGGAGTCGTCATTAAGCAATATTTATTTACTTACTGGTTTTTAATGGTTTTTCTTTCAGACTATTTATTAAGACTGAGTCCTCCGATAACGAAACAAGACTTTGCATTCTCGCTGCGAGGCAGTGAAGGATTGTGCGATTTATTTGATATACCTTGTTAAGAATATTATTAAAATCATATTTTTTTTCATTTATATTTACACAAATCAAAGACATTGTTTCTATTTTGTTTACATTTTGTGATCATGTTAAATATATTGATGTACATATAAGAATAAAATAAATCATGTAAATACAAAACTAAAATATATCATCTTGGAGATTACAAGTTGTTTGATTGAAGAGCACTACAATCCCTTATTGTTAATATAATTCTTGTTTATGGATCTTCTTCTGCGGATTGGGCCAGTGACAAGTGTTTATGGTTTTATTCTAATTTGGGATAGACTGGCAACAATCCTCTGCTTATGGACATGTTTGTGGGTATATAAATAGTCCATTCATTATTTAATTCGGTTGGAATATCCCGTAAATATATTAAGTATCCAGTCACATACTCAAAAAATCTACTGAACTTTGACAAAATTACTTGAGAATTTGCTTTTGGAGTGTTGGTAACGATACATTTTTCGCTACAATAAACTCCATTCAATTAAGGTTCAAAAAAGCCTTTTTTTATATTAAAAAGAAAACAAGATATATGATGAATTTTATTTATTCGATTTCGTTTTAGTCACAAATCTATCCAAAACACCAAATGATTGCTTTGGTGCAGTTTCTTTCTTGGCCGGTTCTTCTAATATCTTCTGAGCTTCAATAACTTGGTCAATTGTTTCCTGGAATTTATGAAATAGTTAAACATTGTCTATGATAATAAAAGATATTCGGTACTAAACCAAATTTACTTAACAGATTGTATAATTCTCTGAAAAGAGATCCCTTATCTGAATAAATTAAGCACTTCTTATTTTTATCTAGACCCCACAGGGTTGTCATTTGTAAATATTTAAATATTTTTACCTTTCTCATTGCACTATTTATGATTTTCTTTCTTGCAATATTTGTTTTTCCTTTATTTTTATGCCGCGGAGTAAAATTAACGTTCTTTGGTTTAAGATGCTGCAAAAAAACAGTGAACTCACATCTCAATTATATCTTCATAAAAAAATTGCAGATTAAAATGTAATTTAGAGAAATGCAGAATTTAAAAAGTTATGTAAATTAAGTATGCGACAGTAAGATTCAGAACGTACCAATAATTTCTTTCTAGCTTCCATTTGTTCTTTCATGGAAGGAACGTCGACCTGCATGACATCAAATGGATCGAGAGTAATAAGTTCCGCAGGTATTTTCTCAAGCAAAGCCTTAACCTCTGCCTCTTTTCTTTGTTTCTTAGTTTGGAAGGGATTGCTTTCCAAAGCGTCGAAGTTTGGTTCACCGCTTCCTGTAAAAGTCGAAACTTTAATTTAAACATAGTTCTAAATAAAATATCATAATATTATAAAGAGGAAAAATTGTTTTTTTTATGTATTGTAATAACTCAAAAATTACTGGACTGATTTTAAAAATTCTTGCACCATTAAAAAGCTATGTTTCACTCGGGTGAAGTCGCGAGCAACAGCTACTATATATAGACTATACGAAGTTTAAAAACTAAACTAAAAATTTAAGTGGACTTAATAATGAATTGTATACAAAGTTCTGTACATTTTCTGGCAATATTTTTGTCTTACTGCATATCTTCTGTTCACAAAACACCAACAATATTAACTTACCTGGCACTATTATGCTTGTAAAACCACCGCTTGTTCCAATTCCTAAAACGTCTTCATATGGGCAGAATTTGAAGTTACTTATCGATTTGGCCATACGATGCCTTAGGTACGGTTTTACTGTGGTTTGTGAACAACAGTTGCTGAAAAAAGAAATAAAAAAAATTAAAACCGTATTGTAGAAATGTAACAACTGAAAAAAAAAGTTAAAACCTTGGGTAAAAAGTTTTTTTTTTAAATAAACCTACTTGTATATTTCAACAACATCTCCAAGTCCAACTGCAAGCATTTCCTTTTGGGAGAAATCTAAATCAACAGGAGGTGTTCTCAATTTGTAATGCTGCAATGGACCATCAAGATTCCTTATATCCCATATTTTCAAACTCCTGTCCACACCAGAAGTTGCCATATACCTTTGAAAAGAAAATTGGACTTTCATTAATAAAAAACGAAAACTTCAAGACAATAATTTCCGACTCTGGTACAGTTTTTTAAAATTCAAAAACTACTGAATAATTTTTATTTTTGAAGTGGGACCAAGTAGCAGCAGTTTTACTTCAGCCTAGTAAGCAAATTATACAGATAGGCAATTAAAAATAAAAAAGAATCTAATTATAGATACTGGGCGTCAATTGTACTTACATTCCTCTATTGTCAACAGCAATTGCTGTAAGGGGTGTTTTATGGCATAATATCTTTGCCAGGGGTTCTTTAACATTAGGAGCCCATAGAGAAACAACACCCTTAGAGTTACCCAAACATAGAGTAGCATTATAAGGGTTTTGAGTCATAACAGTTGTTCTTCCAATATGATTGTTATAGTGGCCAACTATTTCTCCAATGGATATATCCAACCACGTCATAAATCCATATTCATTCTGAAATAATTATTATCGTTAACAAAATTGCAAGTTGGGATAAAATGTTATAAAGTGAAACAAATTAGAAGAAAAAATCTACTTACAACAGCAGCTAATAGAAAATGGTAAGGAAGAAATTCCATACGTAGTATTTTATCCATTTTTTTCACACAATGCAATTCAGTTCCAGTGTTGTCATAAATGTAAAGCCATTCCTTTTGTGCTACTGCTATCATAGTTTCTACATGAAGCCAACTGTAAATTCAAATAACAATTAAAAAAAAATTGATAAAACTCTACAAGTTAATTTCTCAATTTGAACACCATACAGAGGTAATTATAACTACACACAAGCAACTATTATCCTATAGTAATAATCAATTTATCAATTTGATTATCCTAAAAATCCAGATTATCCCCAACCGTCACCCCGCTCTGTCCCTACGTGGGGACAGATAAGAACAAAATGTTTCATCCCATTGTTTACGACAAGGGGCGGTTGGATCTTATTTTATTTCTAAACGGTTCCATCTGTCACCTTACTGGTGACAGTGGGACTTAAAGATGGGGTGGATGTAACATCTTATTCTCATCTGTCCCCACGTGGGGACAGAGCGGGGTGACGGTTGGGAGTAATCCAAAAATCCTTTGTCAATTAAATACATCTTACTTATATCATAAATGCGAAAGTTTAGACTAATGTATGTTTGTTTTGTTTACCTTACCTTATATCATGAATACTTTCCATTACATTAATTTCACAATGTAATTTTTTAGTAACCCAGTCAAAAGCAGCAAGGTGACCAAGTTTACTTCCTAATAATAAATGTCTCCCATTACGTGAATATTTTGCTCTATATGGTCCAAAATCAAGCTTCAAGTCAAATATTTTCGTAGCTGCGGCAATGTCTACATTCTCAGCTATTATTTTTTGTGATACAGATGTCGTTTTCTCACCTTCACCAACTTCAATTAACCTTTAAAATAAATTATTATGAATATATTTCAGTGAACAACAAAACTTGTACCATGGCTGAATTCCGAAATGACTCTCAAATATATTGCTTAATCAATTATAATAATAGAGATAATAATATTTATTTTTTACAGATAAAGATCCAATATTATGTTAGTATGTACATTTTACTTAAACTAAGTAGTATATTACTTATAAATTTGACATAATTATAATTAATTTGGTGCACAATTATAATTTATTTTTTATGGTATATATTTGAATAATGTTGGTAACCACATGTTAAGAGATTGTTCATGATCTGGTTGTACTAACTGTAATAGTTATTATTCGTGTTAAAAGAACATATGCTCCTTATAATATAGCAATTTGCTTGTGATTTAAAAAATACAATACCCTTGATCTTCTGTGAGAAGAATTTCCGCTCGAGCAGCTTGTTCTTGAGCATATTTGTACTTGTTTTCTTTCTTTTTTAACTTTGCAGCATACAATGGATGCCTTACACCTCTTCCTTGCAGCCCTTCACCTCTAGAATGACGCTCTAATGACTTTGGATCAACTGGTGCTTTACCAGGAAATTTAACATCACTACCCCGTTTTAGTACATTTTTAATTTTACGTGTTTCCTGAAATTTCATTTTCTGATTCACTCAAAATAAAAATATAAAAGAAATATTGAGCATATACTTAAGATTTTTTTATAAAGCATCTAAGCAATCTAATGTATCAATGTTATAGTAAATCAGATATGATGAATATCTTTTTTGGTTATTATTTACAGTATCAAATTTTTATTAAGGTTACCTTAAATCGTTGTTTTTTAATAGTACGTGGTGTTACTTTTATATTAAATACTTCTACGTCATTACTGGAATGGGATTTTTTTGGTTTTTCGTCATCTTCTTTTTGAAAATAACGTATCTGGAAAACACAAAGTTTTAACTTTAGAAGGCTCTTTAAAGACACGATTATTCTTCTTTCCTAAAAAAATATCAACTTACGTTTTTTGCCTTATTTTGGACTTTCATTTTAAATTATGAGATATTTATATTAAAAACTTTATAATGATCTTTGCTTATCTTATTACATCAATGCAAATAAAAGAAATAATACACAAGACACAACGAGACACATGTGTTAATGACATTGACATTTCTATTTGACAGTTTTGACATATGACAGAATTAAAACTTTTTTTTCACTAATAAGGCATAAGTGTAGATTGTCAATTTCCAAAAGTTCATGATGGTTATAAAAAAAAGTCTCTCTTTCCTTTCAATATTTATGGCTTTGATTTAGGGTAGTATAAAAACTGAGTTAAAATGCTTTTTTTTTTTTGCTGTGCAATATCTTTTTTAACCCATATAATTTAACGACGGTGTAGTAGGCGTATTTAGGCCTGTATAAGTATTCTATTTTTTACATAAATGATGTAATAAAGGGAGCTAACCAGCAGTGGTATCCTTAATGATAAGAAGTCACCTACTCCATGGATGTTACATGTGGGGATATCCGTAACATCAGAGGGACCATAGATGCGTGCCAGGTTTTGCGAAAGAGGTTCATACGCTTCCTAAATTACAGGTTTCTACCTGAAATCCATGTTTCATATCTGTCGTATCCCACTTCCTTCCTTTAAAGTATCGAAGCTTCACTAGTCGTGACCTTAAGAGGATTCAAGTTTGAAGAAAAACAAAAAGCGATTTATGGCCGGTTTTTGAGCCACATAACCATTCGATAGTGCTTTTGTGATTACTGAATTTTAGTTGAACTAATTATCACCAGGTATTGAAAGAGGAAAAAATTACACCATGTTATTCGAATTTATTATTTTTATTCTCTTTAACAACACATACTCAATATTTTACAGAAACGTATATGACATCAGAGTAGTAACATAGTAATAGGTTTAGTATTTAAATGCGAATACAATTACCGATTCGTGTATCATTTTGAATTGAAGAGAGAACTTTTAAGCTTTAAATAATATAGATTTAACAAAACTTTATGAAATAGATACAGTTTCAAACAATTATTGCACAAAATTTGTGTATGAGTTTGCCAAATAAAAACATTGCAAAACAACATCAACTCGCGACAATTAATCTATCACATTCCGTAAAGGTAACAATAAATAAGTCGTAACACGTAACATAATCACAGTAAAGTGAAACATGACTAACAAAGTAAGTAGTTCATTATTTCTAAAATTGGTTAATTAATGACTGAATTATTTATAATACTAATGAGATCTCATTATTATCTAATATAAATAAAATCGTCCATATGACGTGTCAACTATGTATTCACAATTTTATTTACAAATGTGACTAGAGAGTCCTCTAAGGAGTTTATAATTTCGTTTTTAAAATCTCTATCTCCGCAGCTTAGTCCATATATCAGCGGATCAGCTGTGACTCAAGCGTTTGGCACATTCCCATTATTTAGAACATAAAACATAAATATTCGTCAACATATAATCTTAATTACTAATTAATACCTTTCTTTGGGCGAAACAAAATTATCCTTTCCCTAAACACGTCGTAGCCCAGCGACAATAAGATAATTTCTATTATAATAATATAGAATTAAGTACAATATTTACATTCCAAATCTGACAATAATATTTATGTATGCTAAATCCCTTATATGCAATAGTATAAATTTTTCTCCTAACATTTAGTTTTATGTTAAGCATATATGAGTAACAATGTTTAAATTTTATTTAAGTCTTACTATAAGTCCTTCTTTAGTTTTTTTTTATTTTGAAAGATTTTAGATTGGTTGTGTGTACGTCAAAGAGTAGTCACACATCGTATACAATGGTTCACAAAACATTGTTACCTAAGCAGAACACATAACGACCGAATATAATCTTAAATATTCGGGTGCACTATACAATATACATAGTCTTATACACAAAAACATTCACTGTTTAACCGTTTTTCTTTGAAAGTTTATTTTTTGTTAATAGCTAAACGTTCAAACTTGTCGTTAATTAAATTGCACTATGTCTTTTAACACTGTATAAGCTCCGCCGATCTGAGCCGGACAATATATTTATTGTCGCTCAGATTCGACGGCGCTTGTTGAACCTTAAATGGGTGTCGGCAGCACTGTGAAGTCTTGGAGCGCGTTTTTCACCGTTTCATATATCGGTCGGTTCTCGTCGGGGCAGTAACCGTCTGGAGAGCACAGCGTCTGCAGCTTGGTAAGATAGGAGTCGAAGTTGTCGTGCGCGGGCTTTTCGTTGGGAACGGGCGGCGGTGGGGCGCCTGGCGTGCCCCCGGCGTTCGTCACGGGCGCCGTCCCACCGCCCGGGATCCGCACGTGTTCGAGTAACGTTATTACGTTGTTGCGGAGGCTCTCGTAATATTCATTGAGGTTGTTGTTCCGCTGGGATATCAGCTGGTTCTCCTGGAAATAAAGAAAAACGTAAATGTCAAAAGTTAACACGAAAAACATTAAATTATTAGTTTAATTTGCGTTATGAGGGTGAACCCGAATAGTTATGGCTGTACTCACAAAGGTTTGCAAGATGTTAGTAGCACTCAAAGCTGGATGTTTGGAGCCATGACAGTACCATCTACGAAATTTTTGACCATTGAAAGATTATTATGTAAAGTCTACGACTATTGATTCAACCCTACCCTGATTTCTATATGATAATTACTGACCCGTTCGCCGTGACTGAGGTGTGTTTCCATCGCGTTGATGTCCGACTTCAGTCGTATCATTTGCGATTCAACGCGGGCGTTTTCTCTCTGCAGTTCTGTTATCTCTTGTTCGAGGGTCATTAGATCTTCACCGTTTCCAGTTTGCATGTTCATCTCCATACCTATCAACGACAAACAAATGTTGTATAGTGGGTTAATTAAATTTAACTTAACAAGTTATTCAATTTGCTGACGCTAATTACCTGAATATGGTTTTGGGTATAAAGGTGTGATATCATCCGGGTATTTCGCCTTCTTGGGCTGCGGGGTGGGCGTGGAGGAGCCTGCGACGGGGCAGCCAGACAGGGAGCGGTGAGTAAGGAAGGAGCCGTTTATATGACCGGAGCCGTCGCAGCCGGGCGTGGGACAGTTGACGCCGTCGAACTTGATGGCAGAGGCGGCCGCCGCAACCGCGGCCTTGTGCTGTTCCACCGTGCCGCCGCTTTCCAACACTCGCATTTTATTCCTATTTGCTATCGGACAGCCGGAAGCGCTGATGAAAAAAAGCCACCACATTAATAAAAAAAATTAGGTACATTTTATAACATTTGCAGTTTTACGCTAATAGTCTCTATGTATAAAGGTGCGCACGTGGTCTTACCTCCGATGCGATAAGAATTTCCCTGTCGCGTGTCCAGATCCATCACAGCCCGGTATAGGGCATCTAAGCAGCGTGCAAATAATCAACATACTATATGTAAACGGTATTCATTGAAACATTGTATCAAATTGTTCTTATCTTTAAATGATTTGAACAAAAGTGGTATTAGAGAAATTTTAGATATGACGCATGAAGTAGACAAAACAACCTGAATTGTTTTTATCAAACAGTTTTTTGTTCTCGTTAGATAACTATCGTTGATTCGCCGCTATTTACTCTAATTATTACACGATGTCCATATAAATGAAATGTACAAATTTGTAGATTTATTTCAAATTTCAAATCCTACCTATCCTAGCTTGTATTAGTTTGTGGGCACGCGGGAAGCTGGAAAGCGAGCGTTGCTTGGCCTATTCCCTATGGTCGTTTACCTGAGTGGCTCTGAGTCCTGTCCATCCCGAGGCTTGCTCTTTGGCTTGTTGGCGCGCGGGCAGCCGGAGAGGGAGCGGTGGGAGGAGTAGTTGCCAGTGACGTGACCGGAGCCGTCGCAGCCGGGGGTGGGACACTTCAACTCCTGCGAGTGCGGCTGCAGCTGGGAGCGGTCGGCTCGCGGACAGCCGGAGAGACTGCACATGTACACACTGCTTACAATGACGTGACGACGCAACGTATCGCAATACGCTACATTCAACACTTTACCCATACCCCTACCGTTTTTGCGGTCGAGGGTTCGAATCCCGCCATTCGACTAATGTGTTGAACCATATCCTAGCACAAGCTTAGAGCTTAGTAGGAACTTTTAAAGGAAATATTAGTAAATTAACAAAATATATACTAATATTTTCATAAAAGCCTTTTTATTATTACAAAAAACATACTTCTAGACAAAGAGAGACGGCACAGGCAAGCATATGATATCAAAAATTAAGTAATCGACATCAAAATCCAGGCATCCAAATATAATCGACGAAGTACTGGCTGCAAAAAGAAAGGCAAACTTTAACGCCGTTCATGTAATCACATACCTTTTTTTTTCGTTTTATTACAAAGTAGTGTTAATACCACAACACGAAATTATTCACACACATTATATTGAATATTAATTACGTTAGTGATTAAAAATGCAACGAACAAAATATATACATTGCATTGTTATAAGTAAAATGTCTACAGTCTACAGAATATTATAAAAATGTTATTGTAATTGAATGTGTAATAAAAATTACATTTGACAAGCGAAACATTCTAGACTTATTAATAAAGTATGAGATAATTCTCACGAATCTTCAAAACGAAGTCGAAGAAATATATTTCATTTGTCAGCTTAATTAAAATCCAGATAAAAATATGTTTTAATAAAAGTTTTCGGTGGAAGTTTATGGTTAGCATCTCACTGAGGCGTGTATAAATAGACTGTCTGCGAAGAGTAACATGTATGTAGACGATGGAATGGGAATGCATCGTGTTTCTATATATAAATGCTCTGTTTGTTTGTGTTACATGCATTCCTTGGTCGGTATCTGGAGTTTTATTGGATAAAAAACTCCTTCATATAATTTGAATTGGATTTCTTACTTTTAGTAAAAATCTAGTAAAGATTTTTTATGGTTATTTCGAGGTTTGGTTTGTTTATTCGTTTAGTATATGCTATTATATTTTAATGTTTATTTAATTATTAAATATATGATTATGTTAGTCAATTAATCAAGTAAAGCTTTATGTTACAAGTCAGCTTTTCAAACACTAAGCACGTAAATCGAAATCGTTGCTTCCGACGATTTCACGTCAACATTTCGTCATGCGGTTAGTGCACAGAGAAACCTCGGATTACGCTGTCAATTTGTCGGGTGCGGAAACGGGCAAATTGCCGTTCAGGGGCGCATAACGACACGGAACCACACTGAGCACTTCGCGATGCAAACGCGAATATTCACTTGTACGCGATAATATTTATGAGTACTCGAACATTCTTGAGTACTCGAATATTAGCGAGTACTGGAATATTATCGCTTGCCTGCGGTGAGTCGCGAAGTTGCCAGACACGTGTCCCGAGCCGTCGCAGCGCTCCACCGGGCACTGGAGCAGTTCGCGGGACTCGCGACACCGGTACCCCGCTCTCACGTAATACTCGTCGCGAACGTAGCTACCATCAAATAAATTATCAAAACAAACGAGCAATAACTACTTAAAAAGTGTTTAATTTGTAAATTTTTGACTACATGACCTTATTACGTACAGTTCTAATTGCCCCACTAACATAAAAACTGTATTCTATAAGACTATAAACTATTCAACACGTCACAATCTACGTAAAATTATTTGGATATGTTTACAAAATTTTATCCCCGTTCCTCTAAGTGTAATTTAATTGTTAATTTATTTTTTATGGAGATAATTAGAAATTAACTGAGTAAACTATTTGTCTCACCTGTTTCGTCGCATATCTGTGTTTTGGTGCGGGTTTGTGCGTACAATCTTATCTTTATTTATCTGTGGCGGTGGTCGCGGGAGCGCCGCGCCCTCCGCCCGCCGCGCCGGTATATTTAGACTGATCCGGCGAGTGTGATTTAGCTACAATTGAAATCCCACACTTCGAGACAATAGCGTAACGTAACTTTTATTGACATTCCCCACTGTTATTTTCTTTTGTATAAACAATAACAATATCTGAAGCACGGAAACAGAAGACGGAGAAATTGAACGATGAAAAACATGATCACTTTTGAAAAATCAAAGATAGGTAGAGAGGAACTTTTAAAATAGATTCACCTATGTAGGGCGCTGTTTCTTATTGATAATATTAAAAAAAAGTGGAAATCGAATACAGTTCGTCAGCTTTAATATTTAACATATAACCAAAGGGCTATTGCTATCTTATATCAACAATATTCAGAGTGTGATTGATCCAAGACTGTGTTAGTTGGTGTTGGAATGTCATGTTATGTAAATATTCCATCACAGGGCGACGTCCACTAGCAACATGACACGAAAGGAGCATGTCACCTAAGAGAAATTGCAATGCAACTCTGCCACAGTTGTATAATGGATTATTCCAGTAATAAAATGACCAGTGTTAAACGAATGTCTGTTATGTAATTTGTCAAAATTCAAGGTATCGACCGTTATGTGAAACGTTTGGCTTATTATGATTTAATTAAATCACATGTACACATAGTTCTTCGCCCTGCATTTACCATGGATTTGATGTTGATCACTTAATATTTGATACCACCTCACAATGCTTGCCTTTGCCTTTTCAACAACTGGTAGTTATTGATACGAATCTTCGATTTTCATATCTATTGAGAATATATTTTGACTAATACAAGAGAGAACTGCTCTTTACAGACGTCTTCAGGCGGCGGTCTATTTACAATCTATGTTCGCTTGTTTTGTTTGCCTTCATCTTCTAAAAAAGATACTTACGTGTTATCTTTAGGCTTGTCGTGGGGCGCGTGGGAGGCGTGCGGCGCGTGCGGCGGCGGCATGTAGCAGGGCGGCGAGTAGGGGGGCGCGTGCGGGTAGGTGGGCGGGGGGTAGCCGCACTGGTACTGGTAGCCGCCGTAGCCCGCCGCCGCCGCCGCCGCAGCCGCGTACTCGCCCTGCCCCAGCCCATACCCTGCCACCGGGTGCGGGCTTACGCCGCCGTAACCTAATAAACCAGTAACATGTCAAAATCCATACACCTGACCGTATACCTAGGATTGTAGGTGGTAAAATAAAACGTAATACCCCTATTTATAAATTTGTGACTAAATATTGTAGACTATTAATATAAATATAATATATAAAATATAAAATATAAAAATAATTCTGTTTAATGCATTTATCCTTAGTAATATTGAATACTGTTCTTCGGTGTGGAACCCACATTACAAGATGTATGTAGACAGA